GCAGCTATCTACCTTTTCACTGGCTTCGCCTACCAATCACCTCCCTCCCTGATACCATTTCTCTCATGTTGGCGTCCCGCCTCTCCCCTTACCATCTCACCCCACCATACTAACACCACCTTCGCATGACGCTCTTTCTTTCTGATCGGAAAACCCCTGCGATGACCGGCCCTGGCCTACTTTCCTTCGCATTCCGCAGCATGTTCAAGACGCCCGTCTTCGTCAGACTCACACCATCCTTCAGCATCTCCGTGACGAGGCGCACAATCACGCCCGGCGACTCTTGCAAGAACCGTGATGCGGCAGCGTCACCACTCCGAGATGCTACCCAGAAACAGTGCGAATACAACACGTGGAATATCTTCAACAGCTTAGGCTCTCGCGCCAATAGGCTGATCACACTCCAGTGGTCTTGTGCGTCCGCAAGACGCGCCAGCTTGCCGATAATGTCGCACAACACGGCATCGTCCATCTTGGCACCGCGCCGCAGCAAGATCGACGCCATTACGGGGCTGCCGTGACATGTCGAAAGTGCCCAATCGAGACTCGTCGCGCCATGCGAGTCGCGCCTGTCGATGTCTACGAAGCCCGAAGAAAGCAGCATCTCGGCTTCCCAACGGCGCCGCTCTCGAGACAGCTTCAGCAACAGAGGTCCTGTCCAGTTGCAGCGTGCCGATATGCAAACCCCCTCGTTTGGGTCAGCGCCCGATTTGAGGAGGAGTTCGATGAGCCGTTGCTTCGCCGATGCCGTCCTGCCATTCGTTTCTTTCACCCGGGCCAGGAGCGCGAGCTCGAGCGGCTTTTGATCGAATATACGGAGTGCTGGGTCGGCCCCCTCGACCAATCCGTCCAGCTCGCCCGTGGCGTCCGCTCCAGCCTTCAACAGTGCCAGGGCGGCGGAGAACATGCCGTCCTCGCACGCCATGCTAAGGGCCGTCATACGCCATGTGTCGATCGTCGTGGGCTGGTCCACGTCCACGCCGAACTGCGCCAGCTGATCTATGACCGTTTCTGGCGACGGAGACAACAGGGAGTGAATCAGTGGCGTGTCCCCGTTGTTGTCGGCCTCGTTCACTTCCATCCCTTTCTCGTCGACGAGGTACGTGATCACTTCGGTGAGCCCGGCGGCGGCGGCTTGGTGGAGAG